TGGGGAGAGGCACGCCAGTTTCAGTTAGCAACGAAATGGAGAGCTTTCCATTTAAAACGGTATGTTGTCTTCTACCCGAAATATAAGAAGATAGCCACCTTGTGACGCAGGACTCAGTGTTTGCTGAAATCAACTTCCTTGGTAAAAGTTCTCTGGGAATAGGGTCAGAAGCGGCAGTGCAGTCTAAGAATGAGGCTTGAACGCTTTACACCCTTATCAACACTGGAAACCAAATTGTAGTGGAGTACAAGGACAGCATTTGATGTGCTGCTACTGAATTCGTAAGCAAACTGTTTTGGGCAACTAAAAGACTTAAAAGTAGGTTTAAGAACATGCAAGAGAAGTTTTTCGGTAGTTTTCGAAACTAAGAACATGACGGGGATTGGCTTGAACTTTAGACCTGATCCAGAAGATGACGCTGGTACATATACCACCTTTATTTCTCTCGGGTGACAGGTGCTGTTTCTCTGTGAAGCGATGCATCAAAGATTTGAGTAAGGGAATAACACAAAAAGGAGCACATTTTTGGAGCGAAATGCTGTGTGAGGCTGTGTGAGGGACTTAAGGATTTGAAACACGTTAGGACATTCTTCTCATTAAAACCAGGGAAATGATAAGATTTAACGTCGTTCACCGCTTAGTAAAGCGGCTTTTCTTTATCGAAATAAAGCTGGAGGGATAATCTCAAAAACATAATTCTATGAAGCATTGTAAGTTACATGATACGATGTCTGGCAGACATTGTGGTGTAGGAAACCCAGAATACAAAGATTTTTTTGATTTTCAGCTTGATTCCACACTGTATTTTTGGTACATGTATGGAATTTTCACCATGGATATCGGTAGCCCAAATTTTTCAGGCCGACCATAGATATCAGGTGTGCGCCGGCAGGGGCTCGAACCTCGGACCATGTGCATGGTCGGCGAGAGTCCTAACCACTGTGCCACCGACGCACATACTGGATGAAGACAATTTATGGAAGACTAATACACCCAAATACTAATGCGTTCGATATTACCATGAAAGGACCAAAGAAGATCTTTGCTTTAGGGAAGAAACGCTCCAGATATTTCAGTATACTTCTATCCTTATACCAATAATTAGAAACAAATTCGGATGTGGCAGTGGTAAAACGATTCATTCGGCCATATCCTTGATATGATTTTGAGCAGTACATTGTGCTCAAAACGTCACCAGTAAATAATACTGTTTAACACTGTATGACTCTATCAAAGTAAATTTTACAATGGAATTATACTCTACCACAGTGCACAAATGCTGTTCTTATACCAACAAGACGTTTAAAAAGGTCAGAAAATGGGTACCTGACAGATCTATTTTAACTGTAACAACGGCAGTTAGTGCGCTAACGACTGAGATCTTAATATATTTAGTTCATCTATGTTTCCTCAAAGTGAAGACATGAGCTGTTGCTACAGTTAAAAGTCACGATCAAACTATCTGCAAATTCGCTTCTCTTGCTGAATTGTGTATTGGTCATAACATCTTTTGATTCACTAAAAGCGATTTTGAGTTTTATCCTCCAGCATACCAAATAGATAATTGTAGTCTGTTTTGTACAGTTCTTAAAAAGGCTAAAAACGGTGGCGGGGAAGTTGACCCCACAGCTTAGCGCTTCGTTTAAACTGTAGGTAGCGGATGGGCGTCTTGGTAAGGAGTTTTCCCCAGCAAGTTTTACCGTATAATCATTTATTCGTGTTGAATAACTGACTACCCGGCCAAGTCTTATCAGGAGACAATATCTTGTATAATGGTGTTTAAAGCATTTGATTAGCTTAACACCCAACCTATTTACAAATAACGTGTTCACAAAGTTATCAGCATAATCAGGTTCATTTTCAAAACTCAGACTATATTCTTATGTTCTCCCTAGCGTTTCGTTCTTCCATTTTTTGGCTGACTACAACCCACAAATAGTAATATAGAAGAATCCTCGGACCACGTGATCCATACATTCCATCCGAATTACTGTTTTCCTAACAAGTATCCGAGTCCTTTTAATTAACTTGGCATTACATAATATTTTCTTTCAACTACACCCTAACTGACTGTCAAGAATGAAAATCCCACACGTGCTCAAATCATGCGTGCTTATCAAAAAGTGCACTTCGTGTTAGTAGTAAATTGGTATCTCAGGGAAAAGAACACTTACATAGATTTTCCGGAAATTTTGCAAAAGTTTTTGTATATACATTCAATTGCTAGTTATTGCAATTTCACTGTTATCATAGATTTCAACTTAACTTACTATGTTCTTTGTAAAAACTGGGTTACCTGAAGTTTGACGTATGATATGTCGCTACCATTACTTGGTGGTCGAGCTTGTATGTGGCAATGACTCAATCAGCCAACATTGCTGCAGGTTATATTTCAAGAAGGTCGTTTAGGTAGTGTTCTTCGTCCATTTTGTCGGTTTTCCCTTATAAGTCTTCGATTTTGTGTGACACCAAACATAAATCATCCACGAGCGAAATCCAGGTCTTCTAGGTTCTTCGCGTCGGTCCAGTATATTCCTGTCTTCTCGTTTCCCACTGTCTGATGCATAATCCAGTCCACCACAATTAGGAATATCATTGGTGATAATAAGCCAGCACCCTTGTCTGACTCCTGCGTTTACTCCAAACGCCTCGCTCGCTGAGTTTTCCGTTGTGGATGACTTGACATGTGCCGTTGTCATACAGCTGTTGAATAAGGTTGATGAATATTTGGGGCACGCCGTAGTACTCGAGTAATTTCCGAATTACTTCACGGTCAACGCTGTCGAAGGCCTTCTCAAAGTCTGTAAAGTTGAGGTAGAGGTTTGATTGCCATTCCATGCTTTGTTCTGTGATGATGATGCGTAGAGTTGCAATTCGGCCAGATCATGATTTGCCTTCCCTGAATCCAGCTTGTTCTGGTCGGAGTTCTGTATCCAGTGCGTCCTTTAATCTCTCCAGGATGATGCGACTCAAGATTTTACTTGGCGCCGACAGGAGCATGATTCCTCGCCAGTTCTTGCAGAGTGGGGCCTAAGTCGCCCTTCTTTGGCAGTTTCACGAGGTAACCTTTCCTTCAGTCAGTAGGCACCTTTCCCTCCTTCCAGATCTTTTACAATAATGGAGTCAGCATGTCTGCTGTAGTCTCTGGGTCCCCTTTCAGTGGTTCAGGCGGTATTCCATCTGGTCCAGCTGCTTTTCCAGCTTTCAGAAGCTTGATTGTATTCAAGACTTCAGCTCTCGTTGGAGGATTGGTGTCAACATGCAGTTGTGTGCGCGCTGTTGTTGTTATTTCTGGACGGGTTGCAGGTGATGGTCGGTTCAAGAGTCCTTTGAAGTGATCCGCCCATTGTTTAATCTGTTTTTCTTCCTTGGTGATTGGGTTCCCTTGGCTGTCTTAAATAGGTTTCGCTTGTGTTGATCTCTTCCCGGATAGAGATTTGGTTATCTGATATAATGTCCTCAAGTCCCTTTTGCCTGCTGCCTTCTCAGCTTCAGTGACCAGATTGTCGTAAAATCGTCTTTTGTCCTTCCTAGCACTTTTCTTCACTTCTTTGTCCAGTGCTGTGTACGTTGAGCTCATCGTCTCTTTCTCCTGTCCGTCCTTGCATTGAATCATTTTCTCTTTCACCATCCTCCCCTCTTCTATTAGTTTTCAAGTGTCCGTTGAGAGCCATTCCTTGTCTTGTCTCCTCTTTCTTCCTAGAACCGTTGAACACGTTTCGTTAAGAATTACCTTCAGAGAGTTCCAGTGGTCTTCCACGCATGATTCTTCAGTGATTTCGCGTAGTGTTTCCTGCTTTGCTCTGACAGTTGCAGTGAAAGTGTCCTTTGTGGTTGTGTCCTTCAGTAATTGAGTGTTGAACTTGCATTGTGGCCTATCCCCAGCTATCCTCGAGGCTTTTAGCTTCACCTTGAAAGTCCCTTGTACTAGATAGTGGTTTGAACCCACATCTGCTCCTCTCCTCGACCTTGTGTCCTGTAGGCTCCGTCTCCACTTTCTTGAAATTGAGATGAGGTCTATTTGGTTTTTGGTGTTTCCATCTAGTGAAATCCATGTCGTCTTGTGTATATCCTTGTGTTTGAACATACTGACACCAATCACCAAATCACTGAAGGCTCAGAAGTCTGAGAATAGTTCACCATTGTCGTTCATTTCACCGAGGGCCTCTCGACCCATGGTGAGTTCTCTTCCTGTGTTGTCTCCTCCCAGCTTCGCATTCATGTCGCCCATCAGGATTTTGATATCGCCATTTTGGACGTTGTCCACTATTGTTTGTAGTTGTCTGTAGAACACGTCTTTCTTCTCTTGTTCTGAGACGTTTGTAGGCGTATAGCATTGATTGACTGTAACTTTCCTTCCTTTTGAGTTGAACCTGGCTGTCATTATCCTGGAGGAGATTGGCTCCCACTGCTTGAGAGCTTTGGCTGCTGTTGGTGACACCATGATGGCCACTCCCTCGGTGTGCTCGTGGTTGTCCTCTGGGTGGCCGGAATAGATTATTGTCTCTCCAGTTGGTAGTTGGCACCTTACAGTTCCGTTCCATCTGCTTTCGCGGATTCCCAACACTTCTATTCTGTACCTTCTCATTTCAGTGGCTATCTGGGCAGCCTTTCCAGTTTCGTACATTGTACGAATATTCCACGTACCCATCCTTACTTTTGCCTCCATTGAAAGAAGGCACATCGGCTGACTGGCTTCCCGAAGGCTTTCACCAGCCTGTGTCATTTCGCTTCCCCAATTCCAGCGAAAAATAAGGCTATTGTTTATAGTTTTAGAATTTTTAAATATATTTATTCGTTGAAGTTTCTGTGGCGATTTGGTTGTTTTTGAGGGTGGAGTTGCTAGCACCACGCCCCAACCCTCCCTCTTTATCTGGGACTGGGACCGGCTAGAAAACTAGCGGGCTAGTAATCTAGCCGAATGTACCTTTAGTAAATCAGCCGAGATTTCGTTGGTAAGCAGTTTGTAAGAGATTATGGGTTTCTCTTAGCGTCCTTATCTGTGCTGTCAACTTTTCTTATAATACGTATCTAATCATATCCATATCTCTACCGCTATTAACACTTTTTTCCCTTTATACGTTTAAGCCATTCCGGCTTCACTGTAAAATGAATAAAGCCTAAATTCTTGGTTCATTCGTCTTTTCAAGATTCAAGCATCACTCATCGTTGTAAGACTCAGTCACCTTCGTAACAATTTATTCATTTTACAATATTCATGGAACGATTTTTCCGACCTGATCGGTTCGACGTAAAACCTAACGCAGTTGGAGCTGCCAAGAAGTGGAATCACTGGTTTGCGACTTTTTCCTACTTCATTGAATCAATGGGATCCGAAAATCCTTCGAAACTACATATTCTCTTCAATCATATTTCTACTTCTGTATACGAATGCATTTCTGAATGCAAAACATACGAAGAAGCTATCGACACTCTCAAGAGTCTCTACATGCAGCCTTGCAACGAAGTGTTTGCTCGACACTTGTTAGCAACGTGTAAACAAGAATCTGGCGAAAATCTGGATCAGTTTGTTCGTCGACTCAAGTCGCTGACTACAGATTGTTCATTCAGGCAGTTACAGCCGAAGAACATCGTAACGAATCACTACGTGATTCATTCATCTCAGGTATACAGTCTTCGATGATACGCCAGAGGCTATTGGAACAGCGTACTTTAACTTTTCAAGCGGCATACGATCAAGCACGAGCTCTAGAGATGGCACATCAACAATCGCAGTCATACAACAATCCTGTTACACCTTGCGCGTCCATTTCTTTACATGACGTACCTCATTCATCAGATTCCACACCCTTCGTCAATGAAACAACCATTGCTGCCGTTGAATCCAAATGCTTTTTCTGTGGTAATCGTAGACATCCTCGTTCCAAATGCCCCGCCCGTGATGCAATTTGCAAAGCTTGTGGCAAGCAAGGACATTTTCAGAAGGTCTGCGCCATCTACGAAAAAGTCCATCTTCAGTTAACTCTATAATTTCATCTCTCGTTGTGGCTTCAGCACCTCAAAGTCTCACTGATGCTGTTACGCAGCTTACTGTCAATGGGAAATCAATGCAAGCTCTAGTGGATACCGGAAGCAGTGAGAGCTACATCTCTTCCTCAGTTGTTCGTAAGTATAACTGGAAAGTCCATAAGTCTCGAAATAGAATCACAATGGCAAGTACGAATCTTACTAGTCATACTGAAGGACATTGTTTTCTATCCATCTGCTATAAAAACCATACTTATGATCTATTCAAATTTTCCATTCTTCATAATTTATGTGCAGACGTCCTTCTTGGACATGATTTTTTAAAACTTCACAAACACATTGAGATTCCTTTTGGGGGATCAAGGCCACCTTTTTCTCTCTGTGGTCTACCTTGTGTTCGCGTCGACCTGCCTACTCTGTTTGAAAATCTTTCAAAAGACTGTAAACCGATCGCGATAAAATCCCGGCGTTATTCTTGTGAAGATGAAAGTTTTATTTCCACCGAAGTCAACCGGTTACTGCAAGAAGGTGTTATTGAACCTTCTAATTCTCCTTGGCGAGCTCAAGTTCTTGTTACGTCAAACGAACGCCATAAAAAGAGGATGGTAGTTGATTATAGTCAGACAATCAATCGATTCACTTTTCTGGATGCTTACCCATTACCTAGGATTGACGAAATGATAGAAAAAATCGCACAATATGACATATTCAGCACTCTTGATCTGAAGAATGCTTATCATCAAATTGCCCTAAAGAACGAAGATAAACCATATACTGCTTTCGAGGCTTGTGGGAAACTTTACCAATTTTGCCGAATTCCTTTTGGTGTTACCAATGGCGTAGCTTGTTTTCAACGCATTATCGATGAATTGATCAGTAAAGAACAACTCACAAGCACGTTTGCCTACATTGACAATGTCACTACCTGCGGCAAAACTCGGGAGGAACACGACAAAAATCTAAACAAGTTTATGGTAGCAGCACGCAATTATGGAATAACCCTTAATGATTCCAAAAGTGTGATCTCAAGCAGAAGCATACAATTACTCGGTTATGAAGTTTCAAAGGGGTTATTAAACCAGATCCCGATCGGCTAAAACCTCTTCGTGATCTAGAACCACCCACAGATATCAAATCTCAACAACGAGCCGTTGGATTATTTGCTTATTATTCACAGTGGATCCCTCGCTTCTCAGATAAAATCCACCCATTAGTAAATAATCGGATTTTCCCTCTTGATGTCGAAACTCGAAATGCTTTTGACAAACTGAAAGACGACTTAGAACGTGCAGTCGTTGTAGTAGTTGATCCGAAAGCACCCCTTGTTGTTGAAACTGATGCTTCAGATGTCTCAATTGCAGCTACATTAAACCAGAATGGTAAACCTGTCGCCTTCTTTTCTCGAAGCCTCTCTCGAAGTGAGAAACATCATTCATCGGTTGAGAAAGAAGCCTATGCCGTGGTTGAAGCAATTCGTAAGTGGAAGCATTACCTTCTCGCAAATCACTTCAAACTTGTCACTGATCAACGTTCAGTAGCATTCATGTTTGACAAGATTCATAAAGGTAAAATCAAGAACGATAAAATAATGCGTTGGAGAATTGAACTATCCCCTTATCAATATGACATCATTTATCGTCCTGGAAGGGATAATCAAGCTGCTGATACATTTTCCCGTAGTTTCTGCGGTTCCTTGAAGTCAGTGTGTGTGTTGAAAGACACTAACTGGGACTTATTTACAGAACAAACATTAGATGAAACAATCACAAACACTACCGATTATCTTAAATTCTGTTTCGAAATATGTTGTCCTAAAGAAACATTATTCATCCGATTTGATCGCTTATCTTCGCCATATCTCAAAAAGCTACGTAGAAATAAAGAACTGTTGTTCAAAACTAATGATAAGCCTGGTGTAAAAAAGTTAAACATGCTGATAAAACTGGAAATAAAAAGACTAAGTGTTTTATATAATCAAAGATTTTTGTCATGTAAAACCCCTTCTAATTTATGGAAACTTTTCAAAGAAATTACTAACGGTAAGCGATGTATTTCTGTTCCATCTCTTAATGTTGACACTCTTAATAAATCTTTCATACGCTCTTCTGTTGATACCCTTCCAAATGATACAAATCATATTGACAATAACTTTAGTGGTTTTAATACCCTTGATGTGCTTAAATGTCTCCGGTCTCTTAAGCCTTCTCAAAGCCTTGGTCCTGACGGCATACCTGCCATTGTCCTCAGGAATTGTGCTGATATTTTGTGTTATCCTCTTACTAACATTTTTAATGCCTCTTTTTCCGGTAACGTTCTACCTTTTGCATGGAAAAACATTAAAATTATCCCTATACTAAAACCATCTCCTGGTTCTGATATTAAATTTCGGCCTATTGCAATTACTTCCCCCTTTTTAAAATTGATGGAAAAATTACTTTTACTTCGTCTTGAACCCGCTTTGAAACCTTTTAATGATCCTAAACAATTTGCATACAAACATGGTAGAAGTACCTTGGATGCTGCGGTTGTCTTATATCACAATGTTGTCTCTTGTTTAGACAAAGGTGCTAAATATGTTCGTAGTGCTTTCTTAGACTACACATCTGCTTTTGACTCTGTACCCAGGGGCCTTTTGTTAAATAAGCTATCGTTGACACAAACAGGATCCTGGGCTAAGAGTTGGTTGCATTCCTATTTTTCTGGTAGAATGCAGTATACTGTATATAACGGCAAATCTTCTTCTACCTCGCTTACAAAATCCGGTGTTCCACAAGGTGCTGTACTCTCTCCTTTTCTTTTTTCTTTCTTCCTACATGACCTACCTCATTCAAACGAAACTAACTTTGTTAAATATGCAGATGATCTGACTGTATCACTGCCTATGACTTCCGAGTCTGACAGCTCCAAACTTAATAGCTTTCTGTTGGACATCAACAACTGGTCCAAGTCAAATGGTCTTATATTAAATCCTTCCAAATGTCAGGTGCTTGACTTTACTTTCAAGCATCGATGTGACTTACTTGAACTAGTTAACTCTCATGATCCCTGTAGCATAGATGGCACGGAAATTGAAACCAAATCAAGTATTAAATACCTTGGACTAGTTTTTTCCTCTGACCTTTCATGGTCATCCCATATCTTATCTATCTCTAAGAAAATGTTTCGTCTTACCTTCTACATTAAAAAGTTAAGACAATCAGGTATCAACCAACCTTTAGTTTTGCAATTTTTAAACTCCTGTATTTTACCTATTGTACTCTACTGCTCTCCATTAATCTTTCCTGGGCTGCTCAAAAAAGATTATATCATATTACGAAGAGTATTAAATGCTGTGAGTAGAGCTTGTGGTCTGCCACTGCATGAGCTCGCTAATACTATAGTCGAGAGGCATATAAATTCCTGTACGAAATGGGCAAAGGCTATAATGTCAGACCCTCTGCACCCCCTTTATTCACACCTGTCCCCTTGTATCTCATCAGGTAGGACGAGAAGTCAATATAAAAAGATATATGCTCGTACTACTAAGTATAGAAATTCTACAATACCCTATTTAGCGCGTACTTTATGTGACGAAGACTCTGTTAGACGTGAAACTTACAAGTTACTATGTAATTAGCACAGTGAATCGACCCTTTTATCGTTCATCTTTCTGTATTTTATGGTGTCACACTTTCTATCGTTTAAATCGTTACTCTGCTATTTTATATTAGTTGGTATTACTATTATTACTACAATTTTGTACTTTATACATATTTTTCTCCGTATGGCACACAGTATTTTGCTACGTAGCTGCTACAACAATCGTTTTATTACTATTATGTATTGTGTATTTTTAATTTTTTTTTGTCGTTTTTGGGTAAATTAGATGCAATATTGTACTGAATGCTGAAAATTCCTTGCTGTATCATGAGTACTGTTTTGGGAATAAAGCAATTATTATTATTATTATTAAAATTTCCCCATGACTCTATGTGCCATCCTGGAGTTGTCCGAATGATGCATTTTGTACGCTCGGGAAACCTTCCATTCTCCCTTGACGAGGTGCGCAATGTAACCAGTAAATGCGTGACATGCTGCGAGTTAAAGCCTCACTTTTACAATCCCTCTAATTTCAAACTCATAAAAGCAACCCAACCTTTTGAAAGGTTAAGCATCGACTTTAAAGGACCTCTACCGTCAGCTAGCCGCAATCACTATCTGCTCACGCTGATCGATGAATATTCTCGATTCCCCTTTGCATTCACCTGCCCCGACATATCGTCTCAAACGGTGATGAATTGCCTTTGCCAACTGTTTTCGATTTTCGGTATGCCTTCTTACATACATACCGACAGAGGCGCTGCTTTCATGTCTACCGAATTACGGGCATTTCTTCTGGAGAAAGGCGTAGCAACCAGTCGTACTACCTCATACAATCCTCAAGCCAATGGGCAGGTCGAGCGCCTCAATGGAACACTTTGGCGTGCCATCACTCTAGCATTAAGATCACGGGGTCTACCAACGGCACAGTGGCAATCTGTTCTACTCGACGCCTTGCATTCCATCAGATCTTTGCTCTGTACTGCAACAAACGCCACGCCACACGAACGACTGTTTACCTATAACCGAAGGTCGACATCTGGGACAACTCTTCCTACTTTGCTCACTGTACCAAGACCAGTACTTCTCCGGCGGAGTGTTCGTCAATCCAAATTCGATCCTCTGGTTGAAGAGGTGGAGCAGTTGAATTGTAACCCGCAATTCGCTCACGTTCGCTTCGGTAATGGACGTGAAGATACAGTTGCCCTTCATCATCTGGCACCCAAAGGCGAAGATATAGATCAAGTTGAAAATTCAATACCGGAGGGCGACGCAATTCCTGAGCAACAAGTAAATGGGGATGCGACCACTGATCCTAATATTCTTCGTGAAGAAAATACAACTGAAACGAACAACGGGCGTATTCTTTTGGAAAAACAACAACGTGTACGCCCTTACAATTTTCGTACCAGAGAAGCGTGACATAATAGCTCATTCCTTTTCAAGCCACAGTGAATGTTGTGAACTTTTCTTATAATACGTATCTAATCATATCCATATCTCTACCGCTATTAACACTTTTTCCCTTTATACGTTTAAGCCATTCCGGCTTCACTGTAAAATGAATAAAGCCTAAATTCTTGGTTCATTCGTCTTTTCAAGATTCAAGCATCACTCATCGTTGTAAGACTCAGTCACCTTCGTAACACACAGTACATTACGAGCTGTTCCAAAACTGATTAATAATCAGCAACGTTTAAATTTAAGTAAAAAGTAAAGTGATAAGATGGAGAGGTCACACTTTATGTAATGGTATATGATAGGGTATACAAGCGATATCAACTGTTTAACGGGCAAACAGATTGTGATTAAGTCTTAGAACGATGAGTGATGCTTGAATCTTGAAAAGACGAATGAACCAAGAATTTAGGCTTTATTCATTTTACAGTGAAGCCGGAATGGCTTAAACGTATAAAGGGAAAAAGTGTTAATAGCGGTAGAGATATGGATATGATTAGATACGTATTATAAGAAAAGTTCACAACATTCACTGTGGCTTGAAAAGGAATGAGCTATTATGTCACGCTTCTCTGGTACGAAAATTGTAAGGGCGTACACGTTGTTGTTTTTCCAAAAGAATACGCCCGTTGTTCGTTTCAGTTGTATTTTCTTCACGAAGAATATTAGGATCAGTGGTCGCATCCCCATTTACTTGTTGCTCAGGAATTGCGTCGCCCTCCGGTATTGAATTTTCAACTTGATCTATATCTTCGCCTTTGGGTGCCAGATGATGAAGGGCAACTGTATCTTCACGTCCATTACCGAAGCGAACGTGAGCGAATTGCGGGTTACAATTCAACTGCTCCACCTCTTCAACCAGAGGATCGAATTTGGATTGACGAACACTCCGCCGGAGAAGTACTGGTCTTGGTACAGTGAGCAAAGTAGGAAGAGTTGTCCCAGATGTCGACCTTCGGTTATAGGTAAACAGTCGTTCGTGTGGCGTGGCGTTTGTTGCAGTACAGAGCAAAGATCTGATGGAATGCAAGGCGTCGAGTAGAACAGATTGCCACTGTGCCGTTGGTAGACCCCGTGATCTTAATGCTAGAGTGATGGCACGCCAAAGTGTTCCATTGAGGCGCTCGACCTGCCCATTGGCTTGAGGATTGTATGAGGTAGTACGACTGGTTGCTACGCCTTTCTCCAGAAGAAATGCCCGTAATTCGGTAGACATGAAAGCAGCGCCTCTGTCGGTATGTATGTAAGAAGGCATACCGAAAATCGAAAACAGTTGGCAAAGGCAATTCATCACCGTTTGAGACGATATGTCGGGGCAGGTGAATGCAAAGGGGAATCGAGAATATTCATCGATCAGCGTGAGCAGATAGTGATTGCGGCTAGCTGACGGTAGAGGTCCTTTAAAGTCGATGCTTAACCTTTCAAAAGGTTGGGTTGCTTTTATGAGTTTGAAATTAGAGGGATTGTAAAAGTGAGGCTTTAACTCGCAGCATGTCACGCATTTACTGGTTACATTGCGCACCTCGTCAAGGGAGAATGGAAGGTTTCCCGAGCGTACAAAATGCATCATTCGGACAACTCCAGGATGGCACATAGAGTCATGGGGAAATTTTAATAATAATAATAATAATTGCTTTATTCCCAAAACAGTACTCATGATACAGCAAGGAATTTTCAGCATTCAGTACAATATTGCATCTAATTTACCCAAAAACGACAAAAAAAAATTAAAAATACACAATACATAATAGTAATAAAACGATTGTTGTAGCAGCTACGTAGCAAAATACTGTGTGCCATACGGAGAAAAATATGTATAAAGTACAAAATTGTAGTAATAATAGTAATACCAACTAATATAAAATAGCAGAGTAACGATTTAAACGATAGAAAGTGTGACACCATAAAATACAGAAAGATGAACGATAAAAGGGTCGATTCACTGTGCTAATTACATAGTAACTTGTAAGTTTCACGTCTAACAGAGTCTTCGTCACATAAAGTACGCGCTAAATAGGGTATTGTAGAATTTCTATACTTAGTAGTACGAGCATATATCTTTTTATATTGACTTCTCGTCCTACCTGATGAGATACAAGGGGACAGGTGTGAATAAAGGGGGTGCAGAGGGTCTGACATTATAGCCTTTGCCCATTTCGTACAGGAATTTATATGCCTCTCGACTATAGTATTAGCGAGCTCATGCAGTGGCAGACCACAAGCTCTACTCACAGCATTTAATACTCTTCGTAATATGATATAATCTTTTTTGAGCAGCCCAGGAAAGATTAATGGAGAGCAGTAGAGTACAATAGGTAAAATACAGGAGTTTAAAAATTGCAAAACTAAAGGTTGGTTGATACCTGATTGTCTTAACTTTTTAATGTAGAAGGTAAGACGAAACATTTTCTTAGAGATAGATAAGATATGGGATGACCATGAAAGGTCAGAGGAAAAAACTAGTCCAAGGTATTTAATACTTGATTTGGTTTCAATTTCCGTGCCATCTATGCTACAGGGATCATGAGAGTTAACTAGTTCAAGTAAGTCACGTCGATGCTTGAAAGTAAAGTCAAGCACCTGACATTTGGAAGGATTTAATATAAGACCATTTGACTTGGACCAGTTGTTGATGTCCAACAGAAAGCTATTAAGTTTGGAGCTGTCAGACTCGGAAGTGATAGGCAGTGATACAGTCAGATCATCTGCATATTTAACAAAGTTAGTTTCGTTTGAATGAGGTAGGTCATGTAGGAAGAAAGAAAAAAGAAAAGGAGAGAGTACAGCACCTTGTGGAACACCGGATTTTGTAAGCGAGGTAGAAGAAGATTTGCCGTTATATACAGTATACTGCATTCTATCAGAAAAATAGGAATGCAACCAACTCTTAGCCCAGGATCCTGTTTGTGTCAACGATAGCTTATTTAACAAAAGGCCCCTAGGTACAGAGTCAAAAGCAGATGTGTAGTCTAAGAAAGCACTACGAACATATTTAGCACCTTTGTCTAAACAAGAGACAACATTGTGATATAAGACAACCGCAGCATCCAAGGTACTTCTACCATGTTTGTATGCAAATTGTTTAGGATCATTAAAAGGTTTCAAAGCGGGTTCAAGACGAAGTAAAAGTAATTTTTCCATCAATTTTAAAAAGGGGGAAGTAATTGCAATAGGCCGAAATTTAATATCAGAACCAGAAGATGGTTTTGGTATAGGGATAATTTTAATGTTTTTCCATGCAAAAGGTAGAACGTTACCGGAAAAAGAGGCATTAAAAATGTTAGTAAGAGGATAACACAAAATATCAGCACAATTCCTGAGGACAATGGCAGGTATGCCGTCAGGACCAAGGCTTTGAGAAGGCTTAAGAGACCGGAGACATTTAAGCACATCAAGGGTATTAAAACCACTAAAGTTATTGTCAATATGATTTGTATCATTTGGAAGGGTATCAACAGAAGAGCGTATGAAAGATTTATTAAGAGTGTCAACATTAAGAGATGGAACAGAAATACATCGCTTACCGTTAGTAATTTCTTTGAAAAGTTTCCATAAATTAGAAGGGGTTTTACATGACAAAAATCTTTGATTATATAAAACACTTAGTCTTTTTATTTCCAGTTTTATCAGCATGTTTAACTTTTTTACACCAGGCTTATCATTAGTTTTGAACAACAGTTCTTTATTTCTACGTAGCTTTTTGAGATATGGCGAAGATAAGCGATCAAATCGGATGAATAATGTTTCTTTAGGACAACATATTTCGAAACAGAATTTAAGATAATCGGTAGTGTTTGTGATTGTTTCATCTAATGTTTGTTCTGTAAATAAGTCCCAGTTAGTGTCTTTCAACACACACACTGACTTCAAGGAACCGCAGAAACTACGGGAAAATGTATCAGCAGCTTGATTATCCCTTCCAGGACGATAAATGATGTCATATTGATAAGGGGATAGTTCAATTCTCCAACGCATTATTTTATCGTTCTTGATTTTACCTTTATGAATCTTGTCAAACATGAATGCTACTGAACGTTGATCAGTGACAAGTTTGAAGTGATTTGCGAGAAGGTAATGCTTCCACTTACGAATTGCTTCAACCACGGCATAGGCTTCTTTCTCAACCGATGAATGATGTTTCTCACTTCGAGAGAGGCTTCGAGAAAAGAAGGCGACAGGTTTACCATTCTGGTTTAATGTAGCTGCAATTGAGACATCTGAAGCATCTGTTTCAACAACAAGGGGTGCTTTCGGATCAACTACCACAACGACTGCACGTTCTAAGTCGTCTTTCAGTTTGTCAAAAGCATTTCGAGTTTCGATATCAAGAGGGAAAATCCGATTATTTACTAATGGGTGGATTTTATCTGAGAAGCGAGGGATCCACTGTGAATAATAAGCAAATAATCCAACGGCCCGTTGTTGAGATTTGATATCTGTGGGTGGTTCTAGATCACGAAGAGGTTTTAGCCGATCGGGATCTGGTTTAATAACCCGCTTTGAAACTTCATAACCGAGTAATTGTATGCTTCTGCTTGAGATCACACTTTTGGAATCATTAAGGGTTATTCCATAATTGCGTGCTGCTACCATAAACTTGTTTAGATTTTTGTCGTGTTCCTCCTGAGTTTTGCCGCAGATAGTGACATTGTCAATGTAGGCAAACGTGCTTGTGAGTTGTTCTTTACTGATCAATTCATCGATAATGCGTTGAAAACAAGCTACGCCATTGGTAACACCAAAAGGAATTCGGCAAAATTGGTAAAGTTTCCCACAAGCCTCGAAAGCAGTATATGGTTTATCTTCGTTCCTTAGGGCAATTTGATGATAAGCATTCTTCAGATCAAGAGTGCTGAATATGTCATATTGTGCGATTTTTTCTATCATTTCGTCAATCCTAGGTAATGGGTAAGCATCCAGAAAAGTGAATCGATTGATTGTCTGACTATAATCAACTACCATCCTCTTTTTATGGCGTTCGTTTGACGTAACAAGAACTTGAGCTCGCCAAGGAGAATTAGAAGGTTCAATAACACCTTCTTGCAGTAACCGGTTGACTTCGGTGGAAATAAAACTTTCATCTTCACGAGAATAACGCCGGGATTTTATCGCGATCGGTTTACAGTCTTTTGAAAGATTTTCAAACAGAGTAGGCAGGTCGACGCGAACACAAGGTAGACCACAGAGAGAAAAAGGCGGCTTTGATCCCCCAAAAGGAATCTCAATGTGTTTGTGAAGTTTTAAAAAATCATGTCCAAGAAGGACGTCTGCACATAAATTATGAAGAATGGAAAATTTGAATAGATCATAAGTATGGTTTTTTATAGCAGATGGATAGAAAACAATGTCCTTCAGTATGACTAGTAAGATTCGTACTTGCCATTGTGATTCTATTTCGAGACTTATGGACTTTCCAGTTATACTTACGAACAACTGAGGAAGAGATGTAGCTCTCACTGCTTCCGGTATCCACTAGAGCTTGCATTGATTTCCCATTGACAGTAAGCTGCGTAACAGCATCAGTGAGACTTTGAGGTGCTGAAGCCACAACGAGAGATGAAATTATAGAGTTAACTGAAGATGGACTTTTTCGTAGATGGCGCAGACCTTCTGAAAATGTCCTTGCTTGCCACAAGCTTTGCAAATTGCATCACGGGCGGGGCATTTGGAACGAGGATGTCTACGATTACCACAGAAAAAGCATTTGGATTCAACGGCAGCAATGGTTGTTTCATTGACGAAGGGTGTGGAATCTGATGAATGAGGTACATCATGTAAAGAAATGGACGCGCAAGGTGTAACAGGATTGTTGTATGACTGCGATTGTTGATGTGCCATCTCTAGAGCTCGTGCTTGATCGTATGCCGCTTGAAAAGTTAAAGTACGCTGTTCTAATAGCCTCTGGCGTATCATCGAAGACTGTATACCTGAGATGAATGAATCACGTAGTGATTCGTTACGATGTTCTTCGGCTGTAACTGCTCTGAATGAACAATCTGTAGTCAGCGACTTGAGTCGACGAACAAACTGATCCAGATTTTCGCCAGATTCTTGTTTACACGTTGCTAACAAGTGTCGAGCAAACACTTCGTTGCAAGGCTGCATGTAGAGACTCTTGAGAGTGTCGATAGCTTCTTCGTATGTTTTGCATTCAGAAATGCATTCGTATACAGAAGTAGAAATATGATTGAAGAGAATATGTAGTTTCGAAGGATTTTCGGATCCCATTGATTCAATGAAGTAGGAAAAAGTCGCAAACCAGTGATCCCACTTCTTGGCAGCTCCAACTGCGTTAGGTTTTACGTCGAACCGATCAGGTCGGAAAAATCGTTCCATGAATATTGTAAAATGAATAAATTGTTACGAAGGTGACTGAGTCTTAGAACGATGAGTGATGCTTGAATCTTGAAAAGACGAATGAACCAAGAATTTAGGCTTTATTCATTTTACAGTGAAGCCGGAATGGCTTAAACGTATAAAGGGAAAAAGTGTTAATAGCGGTAGAGATATGGATATGATTAGATACGTATTATAAGAAAAGTTGAAATTACTGTGTAATATTAAGGCAAATCTACTTAGGTTGTTTTTAACCACGACTTTTTACATTGAAGCAACACAATGCAAGATGCTCTTTAATTTTGAAACTCTCGGCATCTAGAGGAATCGAATTCCCGTATTTCCTAAATAAATGTTCTTGTAAGTTGAAATATTGATGCTGAAATCAAACAATATGGTTATATACTAGTTTAAGATTGTTCTCAGGTGAAATTGTAGTGATTTTACCGAATTAATCGGGTATAAAGTGTGACGCGTATAGCATATATGCAGGCACCTATGTCTAAGTCTCAACGGATATATGTATTAACAGACACAACAACCACGTGATTTCCTTTCTGTTTAAGACTGATCAAGAATAAACTTACCACTAAGATTGGGGTAGTCAGTACCCTCTTCAGTCACTATTCTAAGATTAGAAATCCATGCATACCAAACCTGAATTGACAGTCTGTATATAGGGGGTTTGTTTTTTCATTTCAAAATATCGATGCCGGCGTCATGGACGCATATTTTTTTAATATTCAAGTGGCTACCGGTAAAGCTACCTGAGGTGTCATCATGCGGCTGGGTAGTTCTAGACACTATCAGATATGGTTTAAAGTAGGAGTCTGGCGATCATGTTTCAACATCCTTGTCTTTTCTGCGAATAAAAATAATGGAGAAATAATCGCTGTTTGTTTTCATCCCCTTGTTCCCCAACTATTTTATTTATATTGCTGTTCGATCATTTTGTGAGGCACATTTCTTGGTACTCATAGTGTCAGGTTAGAAACTTCCCCTAGGGAGATCAATCTTAGTACAATCAGACAAGGAGAGGAGTACTTGCATGTAACTACTATAATGTAGCTTTACTTTTACCCCTATTTATGTGACTCGATAATATATAGTACACAGTATCTATAACCTACTGACATTCAACTTCGCTAGCAAACGTATGCGTGTAAATGTATTTGTGGTTTTAGCTGTGTACTCATTTTATGCAGCCTCGTTGCATCACAGGCTAGGTTCTTCTTCTGATCCAATTACTATTTGGGTAATTTATTTCTTTTAATTATTAATATGATCCTTTTAAATTGCAGAAATACGTTCTGAAGTCTCCAGCAGCTGTACGAATCGGTTCACTCGCTCTGCAATTATCTTCTCAGATAGAAAAAGCTTGTCAACGTGATTCATTTTCACGTTTCCTATTATCTACTCACAGAGCATTAATAGCCAACCTACTTTTATGTCGTCACTCAGGGACACTGATTGCCCGTCGTTTACGAGACAAGTATTCCAGTCTACATTCTACCTTAAAAACAGATTCTCGGTTATTTGTGACTCAAAAAGTTCTGCTTGGTGGATCACTTATTTCATTTGCTCAAGATAAAATCACAGATGAAGAAGTCTTAGTGTAAGTAAAGTCATTAAACATTCTTACTCATGACCTTTAGCACATTGAAAAGCTTTTCAACGAAAGGTGGTGATTCAAATAGTCTCGAAAACACCAACTCGTTTGATACAGAAAATGATGCTAGTGAGGAAAATCAGCCTCCATTTACTACTCAAGATCCTACTCATAATCAACTTTGTGAATCATGGGATCCTCCTTTGACTTTAATTATAAGGCAACTACTCCAGAATTATGCCGAGCGAAAATCATTGTTTTTACATCCTGCTTTAGAATCACTTTCAACCGAGGATTCTAGCTCACATCTTGACTCTAATCCTCAAATAAACGAGATCCCTAGTGTGAATAGTTTTAATACCTCCCTTTCATCATTCTTTATGGACCTGGACATTCAACCAGATGGTACAGGTTTCGTTGATGATTCATGGGAATTGGTGTTTGATCGGCCAAATATGCATGTTTGGCGAAAACCTGCAAAAGTATATCTTGACGACAATGAAAATAACTCTCCAAAGTCAAGCAATAAATACGAATATCGTGGTAAGTGTTTTTTAATTTTTATTTTACGTCTTAACGCTACACGTTTCAGTTGCTCTCTTGCTGTGCTTATGGTAAACTTAAACATTTGATTTTTATTCTAAGCGAGTTAATCTGAGATCTAAAGGCAAAGTAGGAGAGTTTCGTCAACATTGTGAAAAGTGGGGAGAAAGAGGAGAACTACTCCTAAAATTTGATGAGCAGCTTATGCACATCCGCTAATATGTATCGAAAGACTTTGTGTAGTTAGAACCTAGAAATTTCTTTTTGCACGTGGAATGCGAAGTAATTGAATTTCCTCTATTCATAATAGTGCTATCCGCAAGATCAGTTTTAGATTTCATCAAACAGTTAGATATTTATCAACTCCATATGATATTTGAACCCTAAGAACAACATTATAAAAACGTAACAGAAAAGTAGAAATGAAAAATAAAAGAATGATCAGTAACAACGTCTCATAAACTGGGTTAAGACTACAATCACTTTCCCACTACTTATTAAAAGATGAGAGGACAGTGGTGTGATTGTCACCAATTTTCAAGTACTTCAGTTGTAATCAAGACGGTAATCACTGAACATAGACAATCGCCAAACATTCTCGGCTTAAAGAAAATCTCCTAATGAATGTAGACTACCAGTGCTCCCACCAACGTCAGACATTTTACAGTCAACAGACGATTGTGAAAGTACCGAAGATTGTCTTTAACTGATTTACATATTTCTACTGTAAGGATAGAAACCTCAGCACTTAAGACTCACAAATGCATACATGCAACAATTTTTCGACTATTCTTTGCGATGCGCCAACATAGATGAGCGCCGGCACTATAAATTGCTTACGGTTGTAATACTTTTCGTTGGATGGAGGTGATACTAACACATTGGTCACTGACTGTTAGTCAGTGGGTGGCGAGTTCAAACCTCGTTCCACTTCATCCTGAGTGTTTGTGCAGTATCAGTAGCCCAGATTAAGTAGAACTAATAACTTAGTGTATGCAAAGTCCGTTCTGAGCAAGATGCACATATTCTATTTCATTACCTTTTTAGTAAGCACATTCTGTCTGTCTGCCTATCTGTCTGTTTTCGACATAGCACATTCTGTGGCATATTGCCTCTACTTAGGTGATTTATTATCTTGGGTACTTATAATCTGACTTGCATTTTTAAGTGCCCAAATTAATTTCAGACTCAATCACTTAAGATAGACCTGTTCTTATTCACTTCATACACTTGTGCTAATTCCACGTTGATGAGTCATCTAATCACTTCGCACATGTGTCAGACTATAGTGGACATTTGGAAGTGAAATGAATCTCAAGTGTTAATTTTGTCTTCATTAGTGTAGGTCAAACCCACTAGTACCTTAATTTAAGAGTCATTGTCTTTTTTATTTATAGTTTGTGGACAATTCCATGACATATCAGCCTCATCATTTTTGGAAGTACAACTTAATCTTGACTATCGACGACATTGGGATGATAAAATTGTAGAATTGGATTATATTACACCAAGTGATGTTGATAGCAAGGATTTTTCTATCATTCGTTGGGTTGTTCGCTTTCCATTCCCGTTGGTTAATCGTGAGTATATTTACATGCGTCGTTGGTGGATTCAACCTGGTGAATGTCATTCAAATATTCAAAAATCTCCAGAATTATCCAGTGAACACAAAGACAAGTCTGCAGCATCAGTCGTTTTATGCCAAAGTAGTACAACTGAGGGGGCTCCATCGTTTGGTCGTTACGCTTATGTTATTTCACGCTGCCCCTCAGATTTTCAAAATAGATGCATTCAGTCTTCAGGTATCTCTTCAGTGGAGTCTTCGAAAATGTCAAGTTTATGGGCGAATGCGAAAAGACGTGATCTTGTACAGGTTCATGAATACCATTCTGAGATGTTGATTGAATCACATGGGAAATTCAGTCAGGTAAGTGCCATTCCGTTCTGTTTTGGATATAATATACTCAATAAAACCCACATGGATTTCTCCAGCCACTATAAATATCTCATATTCATCTCCGAAAACTGACTATTGGAGGTTGAAATTATGGGATACATGGATATTTCTACCTGACAAAATAAGTGATAAAACTTAATGTCACTTCATGCAAAAATATCACGATTGTGAGTACCCTAGTAATTCATTCAGGCACATTTTTGTTAAGACTCCGTATGTCATTGCACTTATCATAGTAAAGTCTGTTAAGTCGACTTCTGTGCATACAAATGTTAATCGCCAAAGAGTTTGCGTAGATTGATATTTCGGTGTTTACGAATTTTATGCTCACTGTGTCACATCATGATATAATGCTTCAGACTTTTGTCTACATTACTACTGTTGTTCAGTGGTCGTTTCTTAAGGTCTTCATATTAGCCTGTTTTTGAAACTTGACCTCTTTGGTTCATAAATATTGTCCTTAGGAAACATAATCTATGAGATCGCGCCTAAAAGACTGAACTCACTGTGGTGTCCATATCTGTCTGGTGTAGCTAGTGAAATGCATAGGTCAGTTTGAATCACCGGTGTCTATTCAGGTTTCCCAGTCTTTAGAATTTCTCCTCAAGTAATTGGGACAAAGCCCAAGTAGAATGGTCACTCATTTTCTAACGTTTTCATCTGACTCCTGTCCTTAGTCTTTGTAATCTTTGCGTTAAATACAGTGACACTTATTTGTAGTAGTCTATGCAAGTATATTTCCTTACGCGTTTGAGGTATGAATTACAAACAATCTGACTTTTTGAACACTTGTTGACCAGAAACAGACGTATACCATGTGCCTTGAAATATGTTCTTCATTTTTATTGGTTTTGTAGTGTCTCCAGTAACGAACAGTGAGGTACTTCTGGGACACATAAAAGGTTATCATCCTGAAAATCTCCGGAGAAATATTTTCTCTGGGCTCCTTAATTTTCTTCACTTAATTTTTGTTGGATAAAATTTTCGAATCAATTAATGCCCTTTCATCATTCAGCTGATTTAATATTTCATTCACTTCTGACGGTCTCTTTTACTGTTTCCCCTCATCGATCTACTTCTCCTCCTTGGTTAAGTGTCAACACTTAACCTCAATATTAATCACTATATTAAAACAATGTACATGTGAGATAGGGTGGTATTTCTTAGATAAGACTTTGGACTATAGAGTTGAAGACAGTATATACTGATTAGCAATATCAACTGACCTGAATTTTAGCCAATCTTATTCCATGGAATCATCAAAATTATCATTGAAACGACCTACTTCATTTGTTTTCACCTGGTCCATGTCTTTCGGGAACAGAATTATCAGTGAACCCCGAAATCTCCACCATTCTATTTCCATTTTTTACTCCGATCCCTCCAGAATGTCTGTTGTCATTCCCCATAATAATAATAATAATCATGTACAGTAGACGAAGTCATGGTCATTAAGAAGAATTCGAAATATAAAGAGCTTAGCAAGACTTTCATAAATACTTGTGTGCTCCGCGTTGTCATCAGCACACTTTTCTAAAAGGATTTTTAAGGACCTTTCTAAAGTGTTAAGAAAGATCAGTCATACTTTTGTGCTCTCAAAAATCCAGAGAAATTTGTGTAGACTCTATCGAATCTATGTTTAAGTAAGCTTAGAACGGAAGTACTTTCGTTTGGCTTCAAATTTTAAATTACAAGAAAATATGATAGAGTAGATTCAGAAAGGTAATTCGAAAAAAATATGCAGTCAGCTAACTGACTTAAGGCGGATAAACAAAAAAACTTAAAACTGCACAGTCTGATATATGCGTTAAGTCATATCAATTCTAGGTGATTCGTTACAATTTATGATAGGTACTAAGAACCAAGATAAGAGGTGAAGCCGTAGAGAAACAGATTATTACAGTTTGTTCTTTCATTGTTCAAATTTTGAATTGGACGAGATACATTTGAAGTCATACTGTTTTATATGTACTATTACTGAATGTTACCATTATTGATTACTGTATATCATATTATCAATTAGTTTTTTCTCTCTTTCCCATTGAATTACCAATAGACTGGATTAAATTACTATTTGATCTACTATGATGATCCATGCCTTCCAGTTAATGGTTCTCCAATGAAATTCTTCTCTGTTAAAGGTAACATTTTTTTACTTTACCTTATGCACTTTAAAGTGTATATAAAACTGTATCAGAGTTATTGTCATGTTTTAATGCATGAGGTATTTATTTATTGTTCAATGTTCAATGAGGGTAGTGTTTTCTTAAGAATTTTGTCATATGCTTATAGACTACAAGGGTTAACAAAGTTATTTTGTTTTTCACGCTTTTTTTCGATGTTGTCTTTGCATCTTTGTTTATAAGTATCGTCGACATTAGAATCCGGCGCGTATATCACATGTGTGCATGATTGTAGGAGTTTTAATTGGTGATGATTTTGCCTACTTTATCTGTTGTTCAGTTACTTTCATTCTTCGAATATATTCTTCAGTAATATATATATATATATATATATATATATATATATATATATATATATATATATATATATAAGCTTAGTAGTATAACAGGTGTTGAATAAAGCCTCTTACTAGTAGTTAACAACAGAAACCAGGAATCACCTTTCTAAAAACATTTAGGAACATGTTAGACAGTACTATTTACGTAGTTGACAAACTGAAAGTCTTTCTATTTCTCCATCTTTAAGAAAAGCGAGGATTTGTGATGTATGTTCCGGATTGTTTTGCTATTCATTCACTGTGGAATACATGCACACTTTAAAATAATCACCATTTATGATCAAATATTCTTTAAACCATTAAGTTTGATTTTGTCTCGAATGTTTGCAACTTGTCGTCTTCATTTATTTCGTGTAGATTGCATTTGTTCAACTATCTTTCTACTTACTAAAAAATTCTCCTCAAGTTAAGAAGTTTTTTCCTTATTAAACTAGTGAGTGAATTTGGAAAGTAGTTTTGCCAACGAATTAGAAATCACCTGGAATAACAACCCGGAAACAGCTACTAATTCCTGTTTATTAATACAGCTACGGTAATCATCCCTGCTTTGTGCAGAACTAAAATAATTCTGGTTTGTTGTGTAGTTGTTTAAGCAGAGAATAGGAGCAAATAATATGCCAAGATGGTGAAGACCAGGTGAACCATATTCTGTATACTAACCTTCAACAGTCTACAGTGTTAAAATTATGATCAAGTTAATATCTAATATGGCTGGGATTTGATAGATCCTGTCTACGCATTCATATTTTCTACCAGAGACGTCTCATCCACTGACTCCTCTGTGGTAAGCATGTGTCCTCACAACAGTAAAAGGGTGTTCAACCTCTGTCATCCACTTATTTTTAAACGGAGGATTCACGTAGGGGAGTTGAAAATACTGGTTCAAAAACAATGGCACAGATAAGCTCTAGAGTCCTTAGAAAACAAACAATGAAGCCTAAGTCTGTTTTAGTCGATGACATGAACAAAGATGCAGCTCCTAACATTGTTCAGTTGCCTACTGGGTTAAACTCAAAACTACAGGCTCTAGGATTAGAGGAATAATAAGTAAATGACAAGAAAAGCAAAATTGTTCTGTTACCCCTTCCTACTTCCCAATAGTTGCAGTTTGACTACAAATAATATCCAGTTTTAAAATCAATTGAGTAACAGTACTAACTATTTGTGGTGGCCATTTAACATCAAGTGATACCATCTCTTAGTAAACAGTATTCGGTGACTTGGACCCGTATTACTAATGTTGTCTCGGCAGATTTTTTACCCTCCACAGGCACTGGTACTAGTTGAAAAAGGTGGAGATATATCATCAATACCTGATGCTTATTTGTATTCAATTGGTGGTGCATTACGGCTTTCTAGGTTCGATAGTTCACAGGACTTCAAACATTAGATATGGTTGGAAATCAAGACCAGCAGCAATCATGCATTGATATAAAGTGACAAACGCTCCATAAAATATATTTTTAGAGCGTGTCTACTTGTCCATTCTGTTGTCGTTTATACATCCCTTCTCTGTATATTCGTCCGTTAGTGTGTTTAGTATATGGACTGAAATAAATAAACTTGGTAAATTATTTATTAAATATTAATGGAAGGGTCCGTCTACTTCTCTGAGGTTGCTTTCATTATTAATACTGTTTTTAAAGTAATCTAATATCTTATATTATTTACTTGTTAGTCAGCGTAGAATTCTCAGTGAATTTCATTTACATTGTCATTTCTTTTCACTACTCATAGCTATGGAGGAATTTATGTTACAACTTCATAAAGCTGCATTAAGACTACATCAAAATGGTCTACCACCTGGTATCCAGCCTATAGTATACTTTGTGGATGAAATAAAAAGCAATCAGAAATCTGATGTAGCTCCTGAGCTGAAAACATTCCCACCTCCAAAAAATAAACCATCTGGTAATAAAAAGTCAAAATCATATTTCTTCACCGACCGCCCTCCATCGGAACCCAGTTACCTTGATTCGCCTGCAGCTGCCTTGTATTGATTGCTGAAAGTAATAATAGTAATAATAATAATAAGGATAAGAAGTCTTTTTGTTGTTTTTTTTCTAGCTATACACACATGGTTTGCATTTATGCTATGCATTGCTCTTTGTCTGGTGGTGATTTAATGATGACGACAGTGACTTTAATTTCTCGCCTTCGAACTTACACCTAAAACCGGTCCTCTATGTGTTTTCTCTTTATATTCTTTCTGAGTAATTTGTTTACTTGTATTTAAAACAGTAAGAAAAGCAAATGATTTGTTGTGTTCTCTTCATCTCATTGTTTCCTTGTATTGAATAACAACAGTAGTTTACTATTTTTTCCCTAGATTTAGCACTTACTACTTAATTACTTAATACTGAAGCTTTTTGTACACATATTTAGATGGATATAAAGACGATGGTGCTTAAAAAAGAATGCAGACACTTCTGAATGAAGACGTGAACTCTCTGAACCGGAAAAAACCATAGTTTGAGATTATTTTTGTTTCTCTTTTTACTTCAAAATAAACAACTCACAAATGTAATTACACAAATATGTACAGTATGGATAAAAATATATAGTGATTTAGTTATATTTCTTATGTTTTTAAAAAATTTAATTCTTAGGGTATTATTATATCCTTTAATTCCTAGAGGAACATAGGGCTTCAGCTGTGCGTCTCCATTGCCTTCTGTTTTCTGCCAACTTTTTCACTCCGCTCCAAGTCTGCCCACATGCTTTCATCTCCTCCTCACATGACCTCCTCCAAGTCACCCTTGCATTGACGACCAACTCGCCGATTCCCTTTCGGGTTCCACTCGAGCGATGGCTTGTCTAGTGATGTCACTTGATGGTTTCCTCAGAGTATGGCCAGCCAATCCATCTCCATTTCTTCCTGCCTATTTGTTTCACAATCGGTTCCTGCTGTGTTGGTTCGCTCACTCCCAGAGATCCCTGTTACTGATCTTTTCTGGTCGGCTATCTGATCTTGAGTATTGAGCGAAGACAACTGTTAATGAAGGTCTGAAGTTTGTTTTGGATGCTCTTTATGACGCGCAGTGCAAGTCTCTGATCCGTATAGTGAGTAGCACTGACTTCACATTGGAGTTGAAAATCCGGATCTTATATTTGATTCTGAGTGCTGTTGACCTCCACACAGACTTGACGTGAGTAATGAAAGCCTGTCTTGCTTTTCCGATTCTGGCTTTGATATCCTCGTCAATTCTGTCCGCCTGTAATTGAAACGATGCTTCCCGGTTAGGTAGTAAGGTGAAGGAGGTTGTTTCTTTCAGGTTCCTCTCATTTATTCTGGCTGATTGTTGTCTGTTGTTGGTGTTGACCAGGAATCTTCATCACCTCTGTTTTATCTATGTTCACCTGAAGGAAGTCCTAGCTTCTCTGGATGCTTCTTGTGCCAACTTGTTGCTTTTCACTTGCATATCTTCCAGTTTGTGGGAACTCAGACATATATCATCGGCGAAGTTCAGATCCTCCAAAAATTTTTGTGTGAGTCCATTTTATGCCTGTTCCCTCATCGCCCGTTGTCTGTCGCATTATCCAGTCTACTGCAATCAGGAAGATCATTGGCGATGATAGACAGCCTTGTCTCCCTCCCATCCTCATTTCGAAGGCTTTCGTAAGTTCTCCGTTGTGGATTACTTGGTATGCAGCATTGTCGTATAACTGTTGGATGAGATGTATACAATGCAATAATTGAAGTGTTAATCTATGAAGTGAAATTCTCCGGTTGTTGTGTAATTATGTCATCATTACTTGTAGAAGGGGTTTTTTGATTGGAAGCGTTCTATGAACTCTCTTCATTTGGGATAAGACTTTTAGCAATAATGTTGTCACATCACTTTCAATGCGAATTCAAAGTAGACAGTGAAAACCATGGATTATCTCAAAAATCATTTTTATGACTTAATTTCCAGTCATTCGTTTGACATTCTATTCACCTAGCTGGTTCATTCTTCCGTTTTAGCTTTGAACATTGACAAAATCCCCGCTGTAAATACTTGATATATTTCTTTACTTCAATTAGATTTGCTCTAGCGACGATATCCGTTGAACAGTTAGGACTTGATTATCACTTTGGAAGATGCTTATCCTAACTCTTGTGTAATTCTCTTGATGTTGTTCTTTTACAGTCTGTTCGTTGCTCTGTGGTTTACGATTTTCGTTTTTTGCTTTTCTGTGTCATTTAGTTTGTTCATGAGTTTGGTACACGTTTATACTACTAACCTTTTCTTATGTTGTTGACAAATCTCCCTTTAGATTGGTTCACTTATATGCATTTGGATCAATATGTTCGTTGAATACCATTTCACTGTTGTTTTTTCCGGTTCACAACACGTGATTATAGTTAGCTTAGTGTAGTGTTACCAATAAATCTGAATCCCAACTTTTGACTTTCATTTAGTGTTCAAAAATGCTTCGTCTTATATTATGTTCAAATTGCATGGATAATGGTAAATTTCTCTCTAAATAAGTTTTGTAGTATTCTGCTGGTGACCCAGCTTTATTCCACTCATTCCAGAATTTTTTTTCTGAATTAATTAGCTGTGTTGAGGCATCAAGTTAGGAAGTTGTACAAAATTGGAAGCTGACTGCTGATATTCGTGCATTAGTTACTGGCTATAAATTCTAGTGTGTTCGTGAACATAAAATTCGCATCTATGATTTTGATAAATATATGTTAGCATTGTATTTATGTTATTCCTTTGCTTCCCGAATGGGACATAGGGGGCTTCAAGCTGGAGCTTTGAAGTCTCAGTAGCAACGGTGTCTTTTTACGGGGTGAGGTTGCTAGCCTCACGCCCAATCTTCCCTCTTTGTCAGGTTTATAACCGGCTAAAGAGGTGGGTAAAGGTGGTGCGCCGGTTGAGACTCGAACCCCGGACCACGTGCATGGTTGGCCAACCCTCTACCACTGACGTACACGTTTGGTAGTACTGACGTTTTGAATTCTCATGCATTATATTTTATCTTCAATGACTCAATTTTCCACAGAATCATGTATTGACATAAAGCTAAATTTATTTGTAGGGTAAAATTCCAACTCTTGTTGCATGCATTATAAGTGCAACAATACTCTATAGTAAGAGAATACTAAGCTCTCTTAAGGGCGGCTTAACACAGCTCATGACACGAAGAAGTATCTAATTAATCGAACGTATGAATGAACGGGGCTGGTTTGTTCTAGTATTTGCGAGAAAAAAAATTCGTTCCGAATTTCATCGAAATTTTTTCCTCAAAAGAGTCACTTTTGAAAGATACCTCCATGTCAGTCTATATTTTAAGTCCCAGTGAAGTTATACGTAGCGAAAGACCACTGCTACTCATTACTTTATAACGATTGTAATTAAACTATATTAATTAATCAAATTGTAGGAAGACTGACAATGAGGGTAATTTTCTTTCAATTGAATAATTTCCCAGAATTGTACAAGGTGAAGTAAAACTACAAAACGTATGTTCTAAACAAAACTGTTTCATGAATTTGAAGTTCATGAGCAACATTATAGCTGAAAACCGGTTAAATTGTTTTTTCTTTGAGACATGTGAAGAAGTTAATTATCCGAAGAATTACATTTTTTAGTAGACAGAGCTAACCCTTCAGTGTATTGAAGAAAATCGTTCCTAGATACCTCAATTTACAACTGCAGTTTATTTTTTCCTGAGGAACAAAGTTATATGATGATCATACATTGGGTCATTTCTGTAAGTTCAGTTTAGAAAACTGTCTAGTTTGACTACGAATATTGCTAACTCCATTCTGCTGCATTTTTTCATATGTAGATGTCTGGTTCTTTCGGACGTCTGTAGCAAAGTGATGTACGTGTTGCATGAACACCATAACTAAAAGACTTTATTTCTAGATAACCGAGTTTCTGGCAACATTTGAATTTTAACATGACTTCTGCATTCGAAAACGTAATACATTTCTTGTTATGTTATTTCCCCCTCTATATTTTTTTCACTTTTTCATCGATCTCAAATAAGATTTCTTCGGTTGAATTGTAAAAATGTTATTGTGACAAGGATCTGATTAGACGCTATCTGAAACAACAATAATAATAACAACTTTATTCTGTAAAATATGTTTACACATAATACAGCATTCTCAGCACAATTTCTTTCAAAAAATTGGCTACTTGTGTAGGATTTTCAATTATTTATTTCATTTTATTCCTTTGAGTTCCTAGTAGAACATAGGGTTTCAAGTCTGAGCTTTGAAGTTCCAGTTCCAGTGGCGTTATTCTTTCTTTTGTGGAGTGGGGTTGTTAACATCGCTACCAACCTTCCCTTTCTACCCGGCTTACTATTGACTAACCGAAGTTCATGAGTGCGTCGTCTGGGATTTGAACCTTCGACCCGCATACGTGGTTGGTGAACATTCTACCCCTTAACCACTGACGCACAAGAAGTTTGTAACTACTACGAGATTCTATGACTGATAAATAATTGAGTCAATAAACAATTTCTGAGTATCGAATTAGTGATGATGGGCTGAGGCAGTCTGAGTACGCAGCTGATAAACTCAACCCTAGATGGACGAAACGGCCTCATCTGGAGTTTAAATCACTTTGATCTTACCAATGAGCAAAGCTGGATGATATCAGTGATTTCCTGTTACTCATATCGATCAGTCAGTAGCATTATGTCATTTGCTGTCTTGATTGACATTTATGATGTTAAGCAGATTGCGAATTGTAATCTGAATAGTTTTAGTTTCTAAAGGAATCTGTAATCAATTTTCACTTTGAACTGTAACTCATCGAAGAAGACATTGGGAAGTGGTCGCGCTATGTCATGAGTTGGAAGAAGTTAGAATTCAAGGACCATTGGATCGGGTCCCAGTGGCTCAATGGTCTACAAGCTCCCCTTGTAAACAGAAGGCCCTGTGTTCGAACCCCGTAGTGTGGGTGCGTACTGCTGAAGAGTCCCAAACTAGAACGGAGTAAACAGCTGTCCAGTACTCCCAGGTTTTCCAATGGTTCTCTAACTGATGTCAGCTCATGATGAAATCCTCCATGCAATTTGTAAATGACGACATGTAGAATTTGCAAGTAAATTATTAATCGATGGTATATTGTATGATACAGTGTTGTTCGACCTAAACTAACGTTCACTACTCAACCATATTTTTACTTCATTCACTTCCTGAAATCTGCAGTTAGAAATTTGCATGAGTACATTTTGCTATCCATAACTGGGAGATTAAAACAAACGGAAAAACGTTAATGCATTGTGATGAATAGTATATTAGGTATCCTAGTCGTTTAAGCAGGTTACCGAATGCAAATATCTGTCATACTACCCCATAAAGGTTTATACATGACCATTTCAACTGTAAATCTTGTGCGTATACTTTACTAACTGATTTCTGAAATCTGCTTGTTAATCATACATCAGTTCTACTTAGAACACCAAGAATTCCACCCAATTATCATAGGGATAAGGCCGGTTTAGTCTAAATGATAGTTTCATTTGGTTTTCCCTATTGTGTGCTTCGAATTCATAAGTTGATTACATCCATGAAGAGTTTGTAAAGTATGGAATGACGTCACAAGGGAAAAATTTGGATGAATATTTGCATCTAATGATATTTTT